TGAGAGTGGATATTCGGTAACCAATCAACTTTAGCCACGCTGTTGTTTGATATCTTATGTCAATATACTTAAGTTGATGGCCAACAACTAATCACACACACATCCTGAGTCCAGAGTCCACCGACAGCAGACATGCTGATCATTTGGAACCAAGTGAAAGTTGTGAGGTTAGGTCCTCCAACATCCACCCTTTCTCAGAAGCTAAACCTCTTCGTCCTGAGAATTTATTTTTCGGGTATGGGGGGGGGGGTAGCAAGGTCATCCGCTGGCTGAGTAGTGGCCTGGACAACTGATGAACGTGAAAATCATCAATGACATCCCCGTTCAGGGAGATGTCAATTTCGACGATAACACGGTGTGGGGAGTTATCTCCCACGTCGAGATATAGCACATGGATAAGAACTACTAGGAGAAGAAATAGTCATTGAATGCAAACTGACAAGATCCGAGGGAGAATCCACCTCATACGTGGTTGGATTTTTCCATAAGCTACCTGAGAAGGTTACATTGAGATGGGACATAGTCCCAGTGAAACCATACATACCAAGACCTACAAGATGCTTCAAGTGCCTGAAGAACAGACACAGTGCAAGACCCCAGAGGACGTGTGGTCGACTTGCGCGTCTTCTGGACATGGGACCAAGACTGCGAGATAGAAGAAAAGAAATGAGCAGCATGTGGCTGTCTGCACTCGTCCTCCAACCGGGAGTGTCCCAAATTGTAGGGTGGAATGTAAGATCGCTAAAGTGAAGCATACCAGGAACCTAAACTACAGATATGCACTCATGTAAGTGAGAAAAAACCCCAAGAAAGACCCGGAACAAGAACAACACCAAGAACGCGAACAAGAGCAGGAACGAGGTTAAAGATTACGAGTTTATACACATACAGTATACGAGTCATTGACAACCCTTGAGGAACAAGAACTAGGACCAGATCAAGTCCACGAAAAGTGAGAAGTGCAGAAGAAACCCAAGAAGAACAAGAGGAAGAGACTAAATCAGCAAGACTACAGCAAAACAAAAGAAGAACTAATCGACTCCACTGTGACATTAGTTTTCACAAGGAAGAGGTAACCGACAACCAATTATTTTTTTTACGCAGTGTTTCCACATTCAAGGCCACAAACTAATTATTGTACTTGGGCTTACGAATTTCACACACAACCACAACACTGAATGAAAGTCCAAATAATGTAAGATAATTTGCTTTAGTCATGATTGACGTTAAATTTCAGGTCAACCTAATTAATCTTCCCCAATAGATTCTATGATGAATAAACTACAGGTACATTAGCCTAATTATCCGTTTGGAGTTATTATTCAGTGGGAGTAATTCTTTCTCGAGACTGAAATTTCCCTGTCCCCCGCTGCTGTGCAATTTATGTTCAAAGTCCACGTGTTATATGGACTAAAAATGAAGTATATATATGGTACCTCGTGTTTCATACCAGCTGGTTCGGTAAAATGCTACTGACACCACATACGAGGCACGGGCAGTTCCCAATGAGGTTCACGGCGCCATCAGCTCGATGAACAGGCTTTGTGAAATATAACAGAGTCTAGGACTGCTTTTAGTGTCCTTGTGGGTTGGTCGGTAGCGTTCCCTAGTCCCACCCAGTAGGTCGAGGGTTCGATTCCTGGCTGGTGAGGTCGTTGATTATATGTTCAAAGTCCGCGTGTTATATGGACTAAAAATGAAGTATATATATATATATATATATATATATATATATATATATATATAAGAAATTCAAGGAATAATTGCTTAAGAGTATAAAAGCTGCAGGACTGTAATACTGTATATTAATAGAAGATAAAGTCGAGATATGTCACTGAGCTTTAATTACTATTATGTAGTGTATGATCTGCCTTAAATTTTGAAAAGTTAAAATACATGAAAACAACAGCGGCCAGGAATGTTGGTTTCATAATGAAATTTAAGTAAGATGAAAAAAGATGTATTTGTCCATTGGCATACTGTACAGTAATGTGTCTTCAGGGCACGATACATTTATATTCTTTTCTGTTCCTTGTATGCCAATACATTCTTATAAAACTGGGCATTTATATCCTTTACCGAACTGAACACAATTTGCCGAACCCTCGGTGCTATTTCTTCATTGGGTCTTGTCTATTGGCAGTCCACGACCCCAGTTCAGGATCCCTGCCGAGAATTAGAGAAAACTTTACCACTTTACTTGGACCTCAGAGAAGAAATGTTTCAGTGAAGTGTCAGTAAATATCTTTATACGTGAAATGTTTTAGTGAAAGAGTTTGCCATTTTCGTTATGCATTATGACCTCTCTTTTATTTTTAATAGGGATCACCTGAAGATTGGGCACCCTTGCATATTTCACTTGATAATTAAACAATCTCTTAATAACCTAACCTAACTAAGCTTAACCCCTCTCCAGGTAGCGTGTCTGTGTTTTATCACCAGGAGAAATATGCAGAGGTGCCTAATTTCAGGTGATCTCTTATTATTTCTATTTCGTTACAAGTCACGGAAAAAAATATTAACCATCGATTTTTTATTGCACAGCGGTAGTTCATGTTGTGGTGATTTAACTGTATACAAAAATGTGTTGATTGCGCCAATAGAATGGGAGGGGGAGGGGTAAGCTTTCGAACAAGTTCCTAAAATTATGTATTGTATGTATCTTTACCTAACGATGTGGGTGGTACTTACACGAATACCATTGTAAACCGCTTAAATGTTTGTGTATACCTCTTTTAAGTATACATACCGGTATACAGTGAGAATGAAGAAAGCAGGAACCTGAGGAACATAGCGGAGACTGTTTGAAGAAGTAAAACCCTCTAACCTTTTGGCCATTCCCTTCGCCTAGTATTACTCTATGGGTTATGTTCCTTGGCATTCTGTACTGTATCTCTTGGGTCCTATCCCTGTCGAGTACATTATGAGAGAAAATACCCTGCCACTCCCCTGAATATTTTTTTTTACTTCTTCCTATATGCTGTTTCGTGTATTCCGTTTTGAAGTACCATATAGAAATTTTATTAAGGTGTACCCAACCAATTAAAATCTTCCATTTTTCTTCGCCTCCACCCTTCACGACCTCGACCAGACTTGTCGTGTGAGTGCCAGCCGACCCTGGAGCAAATTGTCCGGCAATGACACTATCGACCAGAAAGTTGTCGGTCGACCCACGAGTCTATCCGTCTTGAAGGTCTCTGCCATGGATGAATTTTTGGCCTGTGTTAGAGTATTTTATTTATTCAATATTTAACTTTTTAGCTTGATAGAAGTTCGCTAAGATTGTCGGGTTAAGCTAGAAAAAGCTCAAGTCGGGATCACTAATCTGTTTTGGCCGAAACACTATTAGTTGAACCAATCTGTCCGAAATCTCATTGATATTGCTATTGAAACAGTTTATTTAGCCAGAAAAATACAGATACAGTCGATAATAATAACAATATTTACATGGCTGAGCCATTTGAGAGACTGGGCCCTCTTGAAGGCACCTGATATACGGCACAGTTATCTCAAGGAAGTATTATAACATTTAGTATCATCTGGAATAGTACACATAACATGGTGGTAATAAGAACATATCAGAATGTTACCACGGTTATCATTTCGTTGAAACTTGGTTGAAACAATCTCTTCGAAACATCATTGGTTGAAACAGCCTATCTTAAACATCATTGGTTGAAACAATCTGGCCGTAACATCATTGGTTGAAACAATGTAAGACATCATTGGTTGAAACAATGTCTAAAACATCATTGGTTGAAACAATTTGTCCGAAACATCATTGGTTGAAACAATGTCCGAAACATCATTGGTTGAAACAATCTGGTCGTAACATCATTGGATGAAACAATCTGTCTGTAAAATCAGTGGTTGAAACAATCTGTCCGAAACATCATTGGTTGAAACAATCTGGTCGTAACATCATTGGATGAAACAATCTGTCTGTGATATCATTGGTTAAAACAATCTGTCTGTGATATCATTGGGTAAAACAATCTGTCTGTGATATCATTGGTTAAAACAATCTGTCTGTGATATCATTAGTTGAAACAATCTGTCTGTGATATCATTGGTTAAAACAATCTGTCTGTGATATCATTGGTTGAAACAATCTGTGTGATATCATTGGTTAAAACAATCTGTCTGTGATATCATTGGTTGAAACAATCTGTCTGTGATATCATTGGTTGAAACAATCTGTCTGTGATATCATTGGTTAAAACAATCTGTCTGTGATATCATTGGTTAAAACAATCTGTCTGTGATATCATTGGTTAAAACAATCTGTCTGTGATATCATTGGTTAAAACAATCTGTCTGTGATATCATCAGTTAAAGCAATCTGTCTGTGATATTGGTTGAAACAATCTGTCAGTGATATCATTGGTTAAAACAATCTGTCTGTGATATCATTGGTTGAAACAATTTGAAACATCATTGGCTGAAATAATATGGCTGAAACTCACTTCTGAAATGTCTAGAAGACTCTAGACGGAAGACTAGGCTGAAATATTCTCTCGTGGCAGACACTCTGGCGTCAGAGGCTACAGTATATGTAACTCTTCCTTTAGTAGTGTTGTATATAGGATCTAGGGAGAAATGTTTTTATCGTGCTTAGAAACGCTGTGCAGGTTGGAAATTCAGAGTCAATTTCTTTAACACAATGGTGCATCAATTAGGTAAAGCAAACAGCCAACATTTTTTTTTAGTATTGGATACTGGACTGAAATTAAAGGGATTTTTCTTTCATATACTTATTACCACATAAATACTCTGGAATTGTTGTAAATACTATACTCTACAGTATAGACATAAACACCTAACCAAAACACTTTTATTTTTAACACTTATCAGGCTACTTGCAACCTTCCTAGTTTACCCGTCCTAACCTATCAAATTTTCACTGCATCCTGCAAAATTTGTACTTTGCATCTTGACATGTTTTACCTCTAACAAGCCAAAGTTTAGGCTAATAACCTCATAATGTATCGCGTTGGCAGGTGGGCGCGATGATGGTGGTGGTGATGGACTTGGTGGTCAGCGGTGGCTGCTATCAGACTGCTCCCACCACCCTGCTGACACTGCTGCTGATATTCCTGACTCACCTACCTGACCGTCTGCAAGTGTCAGCCAAACGCTTAGGGGGCAACGAAGGTGAGTAGGCTATGGTAGTGCTGATTATGAAGCTCTCTCTCTCTCTCTCTCAAATATTGACAGAATCTGGTAACGTTCTAGAATAATCTCGATGGTTGATAACGAGAACTGTTTAATCCATTGGTTTATATGTGTGTATTGTAACGCTGTCTATGCGTTGAGGAAATCTTTGTTTAGAGTGAATATAAATGTCGGAAGTATTATGTAGAAGTCTTCCAGTCACATGACCAGAATGTAAACAAGCGTCTATGTTTTTGGTCAGTAAATACGCGCAATCTGTCATTAAGTTGGACTACTGAGTATTTATTCCTTCTTATAATAACAGTTTGTCTCCTCCAGTGGTGGAACAGTCAAACGAAGATATCAAAAAGGATTTGTATTAAAAAAAAGCGCTGGTACTCATGATCTATAGTTCTATACAGTTTGCCTCAGACTTGGTTCACTACCCCAGGAAATGTGACACATCTACAGTATACCTGACTCCAGTACTAGTACGGCATTATAATATTTACAAACAACGTAAAAGAGTGTATCCCAGTTCATTAGTCACTGATCACTTTCATGACGATGATAAGTGAAATAAATGTAAAACGCGCTAGCATGTTTGTTATATTTAAGAAGAGATGGTATTAAGAGAAACTTAAGTGAAGAATAATAAAATGTATACAATTTAAAGCTGGTAGGCTCTCCATCTTACTTAGCTGTTACAAACTTTTGGATGACTAAGTATTCTGTAGCTGTATGGACTATTTGCTGTTGTGGGTTGAAAAGAATGTAAAAGATAAGTTTCTCCCCTTGTGTAACTTGTTAATGTCACAATAGGTTTTGTTACGAGTGTTCAGTTTTACCCCATAAATAAGTACAGAACGTCGATGATATTACTCAGAAAATGAAATAGCTTATTTAGTTAGAAAACTGCAGATACAAAGTGAACAGCAACAATATTGACATGGCTGAGCATTTCGAGTGCTACAGCTCTCGAAAAGGCACTCGCAATATACCGGGTACTACTGTACATTTATTTCAAGAATTTTTTTTAAATATCAGAGTATCATCTGGCTTACAATAACTTGGATAGTGTTAGTGAATGCATAAGGAACTGTTACTACTCAAATATCTTCCCCAGTAAGGTTTCTGGCCTTTGGGGGCGAAAGACGGCTCAAAAACGAACCTCGTAATTGCCAAGAGGGTATAAAAAACTTTAGTCCAGTCAAAAATTACGTTTGGGGTCGGATTACTGGTCTTGTTTTGTTTTTTCCTTAGTTTACTTTTCCTTTTGTAATTCTTTTAGTGATACAGCAGCTTTAGTGTTGACCATTTTTCATATCTATGAGAGAGTCTCTTGGGAAGTAATCTGCTCAAGATATTAATTAAAACCTGATCCTATTGGGACTCTGGGACACAACCCTTCCCCTCTCTGTTTTTTTTCCGTTCAAGGCAGCAATGAACTTTGTTTTTCGTTTTTTTAATATATCATTTTACCCATTTTTCTCTGGTTATTTATTTTATTTTATTTTTTTTCTTCGAATTATCCATTTTTTTCATATTTTCTTATTTTTATTTTCCTCTCGTTCTCAGTTTGATATTTTTTTTTAAGTTTATTAACATTGTTTGTGTGTGTGTGTGTGTGTGTGTGTGTGTGTGTGTGTTTTGTTTCCACTATTATTGTTGGTAAGTGACGATACAATCAAGTGTAGGTCTTGGTGTAGGTAATGGGAGTTAATACTCGTATCGCGTTTTATCAGTTATATAAATGACTTAGGATATATCCAGCCATACAAACTGTAGTTCATTATCCATTGTGCTATATGTTTGGTGTCATTTGTATCTATTTGCTTTATGTTTGGTACAAAACAAAGAAATAATTAAAAGACTTCATTCTAAGGCGAATTTCATCTTTGACTTCGACCTTTTATGGTAAATATTTAAAATTTTCTAACATCCTCTCTGAAGTGCTATTGCCTTAAAATCGTTTGCATTTTGATAGTTTAGCTATTTAACATTATTTTAGGGAATAACAGGTCTGCTTACCAATTGTTAACACATTTAGTTTGAATAAATGGACAGCTACACGAACATTTTCTATGAACCAATCAGCTTTTTTATAGAAGAGGGGCGTGGCATTTGGACCAGGTTAGCATGGAAATACTTACAGTGGGTGGGCGGGTTGCTGCCCCTCGCCCGTCCTATCTCTTTTCTCTCTACTTAACCCAGGTTTCTTCCTCTCCATTTTTTTTTATATTCTCCTTCGGCTCTTTCCTCTTGACTTAGTCCAATTTTACTCACCTGTCCCACTTGGTATCCAGGTTCTTTCCTCTCCCTTCATTTCTTTTTTGTAATTCTCCTCCTTTTAGCCTCTCCTCTTCATCTAGTCCGTCTCTTCCTCCTTTTCCCGCCCGTTCTCACTTATCTTTCCTCTTCATCTCCTTCCCCGCCTCTGTCTATTTCTTAGTTTAGCTACTCTTCCTGCTCACTCCCCTACCCTCCCCCTTGCACCCCTTATCATTCTCTTGCATCCTCCTTCCTGCTCACTCCCCTACCCTCCCACTTGCACCCCATACCCTTCCCTTGCACCCACCTTCCTCCTCACTCCTCGTCACCAAACTAATGAAGCCAGGGGAACAATTTACCCTCTAATTGGAGTTCAATTGAGGATTCCGTGAGACAAGGCTGTAATATAGAGGAGTTATCCCTGAAGACGCATGTTAACTAAATATCACCACGAAGGCTTCTGTAGAATCTAGAATCTATTGAAAGGTTAATTTCTTGGGTAGTTGGCACTTGATATAGAATTTACTCTAACATATTAATAAATTTTCTCATTAAAAGTATGCTATTGTACGAATTAAGACCTAGTGAACGGTGCTTAATAATCTTTGCAGTTGAAGCATCTCGGACAACGACGGCAGTTCATACAAGAAATAGATATATAAATATCCAACAGGTGTTGAATTTAGTCACATTCTACTGTACGTTCCAGTATTTATGTTAAGGCATTTAGTACGTGCGTTTCTTTTTTTTAATATCACGTATTGACGAGCTAGAGCTTAGGTTAGGTTAGGTTAGGTTAGATTTTACGAATGTTTCAGCCATATGCACCTCCACCGCCCAGTACCTTTATATTCCTCACCCTCCAGTCCCAACCGACTTCCACTTCTCTCCTCCCCTCCTGCATCACCACCTCTTCTCTATTACCCCTTCGTCATCCCTTCTTCCTCCACCTCACCTTCTCACCTCCATCTCCTACTATCGACCTCCTTTCCCCCTTCACCTTACCTTTACCCTTCTTCGCCTCCTTTATCACCTTACCTTTCTCCACCACCTCCCCTTCCTCCACTCTCACCTCAACGTCCCTCCTACCCACCTCCTCCTCAACCCTCCTTCCTCCACCCCCACCGCTTCCACTTTCTCCACATCATCCTCCCACCTTTCCACCTCACCCAACTAAACCCTCCTCCACCTCCACTTTCTACCTCCCACCTTCTCCTTTTGTCCTCTCAACTCCTCCTCCCATCTTCTCCTCCTCGCTCTCCCACCGCCACGAGCCAGATGCTGCATTAGAACGATTTCAAGAGGCTAACTCAACACATGAATAATGCAGACCCACGCGAAAATATGACGTGGCGCTTCAGAGTCTCACGCGAATATACGTATAATATATACGACCAATAATTGATTTCCTTTTAGGGTTCTTAGAGATTCTCCCAGGTGTGTGAAGGAATTGAGGACTCTCCCAGGTGTGTGTAGGACTTAGAGATTCTCCCAGGTGTGTGTAGGACTTAGAGATTCTCCCAGGACTTGAGGGCTAAATATCCCCCAGTAGCTTATATGATAGAAAATAGATATACTGTATATACTGTTATTTTATTTATCATTACTTGAGCAAAATATATCGGAAAGGTAAAATATGATAATTATTTAATGTCCTAATCGTAAGCACAAAAATAACATTCAAATTGACATCAAAATTACACTTGATATTTACCTTAACTTTATTCGCTACTTAACATCAATTGACCAAAAGTACTACTACGGACCTTCGTGAATACAGATGATTGGATCCTCAAATTCGTTCGTTGATATTTATATTAGGGATTAAAACAGAACTTATAACAGTTGAGTCTTTGGATAATTCCATTTTGACTTTTTATCTCTTAAGCCGTCGTGTGAGTCTTGTAGAGAGATGAACACTCGAGTCCCAGGGTTATTTCTCATCCATGTTGGCCCTGAGCCTTCCCGGGAGTCTTGTCACTCTGCTCGTATAATTCAGTGTCCGGGAAGATTTGGTTTTTTTTATTGAATTTATATATATTTCCGGACCATTGAGTTTAATTGATGGCCTCATCGTTTCCGAGGTTGCTTAGATGACTTACTTTGTGGTGATCTTAATGGCCTCGTGGTGACCATATAGTGACCTTGCTGGCCTTGTGGTGACCCCCCCCTCGCTCATCAGTAACACGCTTGGTGACGCCAGACGTGATTTTTCGTCAGCCTTGTGCCTATACTGTACTGTAGAGCCGCTGGTAGGAGCCCGAGTAGTGGTAGTGCTGATGATTATGATGATGGTAGGTGGTGGTGGTAATAGTGATGGCAAGTGGTAGTGGTTATGGTGATGGTAAGTGGTGTTCATTGTGGTGGTGATGTCTGGTAGTGGTGATGGTTATGGTTGTGGTAATAGTGGTGGTGGTAGCTGATGGTGGTTACGATGGTAGGTGGTGGTTGAATAGATTTGGTTGCGTTTGGATATATTCGATTAGGGTGGGTACATTAGGTTAGGTTAGAAACAAAATTATGTAGGTTAGGTTAGTAAAGTAATGGTAAGTGGGGATGCTGATCATGAAAGGTGTAGATGGGTACTAACCAGCCACTGGATCTACGTAGGTTTTATACATAAATTATATCACATAACTGGTCTTTACACGAGGGTTTCAAATATCAGTGAAAGAACTAAAATAATTTTCAAATTTTTATTATTGAAGTTATTAGTGAATGTTGAACAG